CCCCAAAACCCCAAAACCCCAAAACCCCAAAACCCCGACAATCAAGACCTGGTTGGATATGAAAAATTAAAATATTATTCTAATTCGTGCTGAGGTTCATTTGCTTCAAAATCTCATTCTCAAGCTCGGTCATGCTCTCTTCTGCATCTCCCATATCATACGGCTCCCTACCATACGCTTGGTTGGCTTCATTCTCCCAGTCATTTATCGTATCACCCACAAGACCACTGCTAACATCATTATTCCCTGAAGCGAGCTCCTTCATCAGCCAGTTAAGCTCATCATTGCCCAGTGTCATCAATAAGGAATCTAAAAATACCAATAAGAACAAAGTAGAATGAATTTTCAGGAAATCAGGTTTTCACAGGAAAGCTTATTTCAATGTCCAAATAGTTGTTAGGATTATGATACATATGTAATCTTGTAATACTCTAATTTATTATCAACCTAACTGTAGAATCTGGATCATATTTTATATGTTAGTCAAAATTCTAGAAATCAGGATAAACTATGAGATGCTTCCATAAATTAAGACTGTAGTTTTAACTCCAAACACAGTATAAATTAATCTAAAATATCAATAGACACAGTTGAAACTAAGTCATGCTTACTCTGATTCTCATGCTTTTCTTCTGTCTTGATAGAGGTCTCATCTTCCTCAGGCTTAGGGTAAAACTGTGGTCCTTTGGTCTAAATTAGCGTTTAATACATTTAAAACATTCTATGAACAAAATTTGAATGTTTTACATCAGACTGCCATAACCGATGACTTATCTGATAAAATTCATTAACAATACCAAACTATAGTATTCTAAAAAAGCTGAGATCATCGTCAGTTACAGAATAATAGGAAGGAGGAAATATTAGATCAGAAAATATAGAAATGACCTCATGAACACGAGGCTTATACAGTACATTATCTTTAGCATTATTCTAAAGTTAAGGATGATAAAACTTACTGTGCTCTGTTGTTTCTCTCCTAACAACTCTAACAGTTTATTTGTTCTCCCTTGGACTTAAAACTATGAATTAATAGGCTGAATTACCTGTAGAGTCCTTGAGCTTGTCTCCACCTTGGAAAATATCGCTGGTGAATCTAGAGAGGGACATCACAGATTGGAGATTTCGGGAGTTATCACCAGCAATCGTCCCATTGTTGATTATAATCATCGCATCTTGGGTCTCATCGCAATCCCTGTTGTTCTATAAAATAAAGTTGCGGTCGGTGAATTTAGAAATTTCCCATAAATTGTTCCTAATATTTCAATCAAAATCTCTCTTTTTACGGTTAATAACCCAAACGATTGTAATAAAGGGTGTACCAACTTTAAGATATTCAAGGATTATTCATAGTTTCTAGAAAGGCACTAATCACAACGATAGTAGTGATGTAGAATTTAGACAAATTTAGCATTAGAGGTACAAGGAACTTCAACTTCACTGGGTATCAGAGTACTCACCTCGTCTTCTTCATTCATAATCTGATTAAGTTCCTCTAGCTAGTTAATTTGGATATCACTTACCATCAAAATCTTCTATTTCCTGATCGATACCTATTCAAAAAGTATAAGCCATGATTTTGGAAGATAACATTTCCTGAAAATGTATCTAGTTTTGGCAAACTTACCTGCCATTTTCCTTACAAAATTTATCAATTTTTTATAAATTATTCGGGGTTTTGGGGTTTTGGGGTTTTGGGGTTTTGGGG